CCAGCTGCGGGGAGGTGAAGCTCCACGACTTCAGCAGCGGCAGCAGCTCGGGCCTGGAGCCCCACCGCAGCAGGGTGACATGTGTGACGGCCGGTCACTGGGGGACCCACGCCTTGGTGGGCTCCGAGGACGCTGTCCAGAGGCTTTGGGCCCTGAGCCCACTGGTGCTGGACCACACCATGGAGTACAAGGTCAGAACTACTGTGGTTTGACATCAAATCACATCACCATGCAATCTGCAACTTCACTGTAGCGGCCAAAATCATAAAGAAATGAAACTGCTGCTGAGTCACCAGTTAGTGAACCTCGCTCAGGGAATGATCCATGTGCAGACCAGAATATCCGTTTGTGCATTTATTTCCATTTACCAACATGAACAAAATACAAAGAACAGGTGTTTGCCCTTTGCCTCTCCTATGGCATGCTTGTTTCACCCTGTGGTAAACAAACATATGCCTACTGGTGCTCTGCTCCCACCACCACCTGTCTCCAATATACAATCACACCAGGTGCCCAAATACACCTTCAAAATAAAAGCATAACACTACTTTAACTAACTTAAATAATAACCCTGAATAATAATACATTTACTATAAACAAAAACAGCAGCAGTTTAACTATTACGTAATATAAATCAATATATAGCTCTAACACTCATCACTAGATGCCATAAGTCTCACACACTGCACCTAAAAACACAGTGCTATTACCGTAGGTCAGAATACTCTGTTAGGAACAATATCTTCTATCAGACAATAATAAGCCAAATATGTACAAATGTGTATTTAACTTATGAAATAAGCCCATTCATCATTTGTACACAGTGCTATTAACATAGTATTGTAAGCAGATATAAGGAAATTTTTAAGTGTTTAATAATGTACAGTATTTGTCACGTTTATATAACTTCTCAAATAAAGACACAATATATGTTATATATTGTTGTCATTCATTATGTATTTATACTAAAGCATGTTATGAATGCTTCTTAGAAGGAGTTAGAGTTTTTGAAAAATGTTTTCTTGATGTTCAGGGATTTTTCTTCGAGGGCGTCCTCTCTGCTGCTTTCTCTGACAGCGACCAGTTCGTCTTCACTGGATCTCAGGACAGAACAGTGAAAGTGTGGGACGTCGCTTCAGGTACACACTGATCCAACACATTCCTAAACTATTTCTGAAATACAGGATTGGAGTGTGTTCTACTAACCGGTGGCAGCTCTAACGGCTCTGCTTACATGTTTTGTAAAATGCTTAACGGAATGGAGCCTCGCATATGGGGGTGCTGCAGCCCCCTCAGCACCCCCCCCCCCCTTCCCGCGTCCATTCGTGATGTCTCGCTGTCTCGCAGACCCCACGCAGCAAGCAGGAAATTAACCCAGCTCACACTGTCCGCTCCTCGCAGCAGCGAGCTGCGCAACGTCCCTCCAACACGGCACCCAGACCCCACGCAGCATTCTCATCTGTTTGTCATTACTGGTGTCATTTCCCGGTTGCTAACAAACGCCATTGTAACACATAATCACTGATGTTCCGCTGTAACGGTGGTGGACTCATCAGAACAGAGTGGGCGAGCTGACCAATCAGAGCACACTGGGCTCACAGGGAGGGGGGGGCAGGAGCTCCAACAAGGCGTGTAGGACAGAGAGTGAATACACATACAGAGATGCTGTATGAGAAACCAATGTGAGTTTGGAACATTGAACAATGTAAATATATTCTAGTAGACCTCAACAATGGAATTATGATCAGTAGAAATGGCCATGACATGGGACCTTTAAGTTAACTGCTGCTAAAACTTCAGTTTACCACAGCCTCTAGGTCCACTGAAGAGGACATCGAGGGTCACTCGAATACAGAAATCTTCATACATGATCAAAATGACTATTCCATGTGATGATCAGCTGAGGGTCTTTGAAATAAAGAGGCTGTCACTCACCGGTTTGTATTTTCTTGTTTCTTCCTGTCAGGAAACCTGCTGTATGTCCAGTACGTCTACTCCCCCGTTGTCAGGATGGTGACCTTCAGGAACGGCTTTGTGGCGCTGTCCCAGCAGGGCTCCGTCATCAGGGAGGTGTTCCACTGTCCGGAGCTCATCAGTCCGGACTACAACCCTCTGAGGAACGTCAAGGCCCAGTACCGGGTCTCCTCCAGGGCAAAGCAGAGCCAGGACGGCCAGCAGAGCTCCGGATCCCACCTTCAGGAATTCAACCCAGCCGGTCTGAACCTGAACCTCATGAGCATGCTCAGAACCAGACCCTCCTCCACCTGCCTCCTGCTGTAGGACGCCAAACACCTCCAGAGGCTTCACAAATATAGAGGAAACAATACATAACGCAAATATATCTATAGTTCATAAATGATTTCATGAAGTTGTGAGCAGGGCTAATGAACAGGTTTACAACACAAATATCACTTTGTAACAGTAGACAGTTAGCATCCTGTTTATCTTAGTCATAAGATACCACGGTGTACCCCAGGGCTCTGTGCTTGGCCCCCTCCTGTTCACCATTTACATGCTCCCCCTCGGCCAGATCATCCGACATCATGGACTCAATTTCCACTGTTACGCTGATGATACCCAACTGTATCTCAGCACCACTCCCTCCTCCCAGCTCCCCCCTCAGTCTCTCATCAACTGCCTGCATGACATCAAAACATGGATGTCTTCCAACTACCTTAAGCTGAACAGCAATAAAACGGAGCTCATGGTTGTGGCACCCAAGGCCCTGCTCCAGAAGGTTGGTGACTTCATCCTCGAGGTCGACGGCTGCTCCATCTCCCCATCTCCTGAAGCCCGCAACCTGGGTGTCATCCTTGACTCCCCCCTTTCCTTCCATTCCCACGTCAAATCTGTGACCAAATCGGCCTTTTTCCACCTGAGGAACATTGCCAGACTCCGACCGTCACTCACGGAGTCGGTTGCCGAAATCCTAGTACATGCATTTGTCACCACCCACTTGGACTACTGCAATGGTGTCCTGTTCGGGGTTCCCAAAAAAACCCTGGACAGGCTCCAGTATGTCCAAAACTGTGCTGCTCGGGTACTCACACACACAAAGCCGTGGCAGCACATCACTCCCACCCTCATCCACCTACACTGGTTGCTGGTCAAGTCCCGTATATCTTACAAAGTACTCCTCCTTACCTACAAGTCCCTCCATGCCCTTGCCCCCCAGTACCTATCGGACATCCTTCACCCACATGCCCCACCCCGGAACCTGCGGTCCTCAGACTCTGGCCTGCTTACCACCCCCCGCACCAAACTGCGAACCTTCGGGGACAGAGCCTACAGTGTGGCAGCCCCCACCCTCTGGAACGCTCTCCCTGCGGAGATTCACAACATCCCCACACTCGACGCCTTCAAAAGGGCCCTCAAGTCCCATCTGTTTGCCAAGGCTTTCGGCCCCTAATCGATCTGTTGTTTTGTCTGTCTGACTTTTGTTTTGTTATGTTTGTTTTTGCCCTATTACTGTACAGCGACCTTGGGTCCCTTGAAAGGCGCTATATAAATGCAAGCTATTATTATTATTATTAGAGCCTTCAGCCGCTTTGCACCCCGCCTCTGGAACTCCCTCCCACCTGACATCCGCAATACTGACTCTCTCCCCATTTTCAAATCACGTCTCAAAACACATCTCTTCACACTCGCATATCCACCCTGATCATTATCCATCACACATCCTCTGTTTTATTTATTTGATTTGTTATATACTGCATTGTCTTGTTTATGTTTCTTATGCTGGTGTTATGTATTGTGTATCATGTTTTTTGTGTGTTTGTACGGCGACCTTGAAAGCCTTGAAAGGCGCCTATATAAAATAAATGAATTATTATTATTATAAGTTATAACTAAGATAAACAGGATGCTTGTAAAATAACATATTTCTAAGGTTTCTGGAATCCTTAGACTCTTATAAAATCATGGCTAAAAAACGTAACATCTAAGGGTGCTAGCAACAACAGCAATACAACAATGTAAGCCTAAATATGAGTGTTTTTGAAATGAAGTAGATACAGCAGGACTCTGTCTGGAAACTGTCAGTGACTTCAGCTGCCGCCCTCTGTGAAGACGGAAGCTACAAAGTGATCAGATGGAAGGGGGTGAGTATTTGATTCATGAAATATATATTTTCTGAGTATTGTTCCTTTAAATTTTGCAAAGCACTAACCCTGGGTTCATCTGCTAAAACCTGAGCTAATGTTAGCTTACAACTTAGCCAAAACTTAACTTTATACCTCTAAGGCCAACACATTGATTTATTGTTAATTTTAGAAAATGTAGTTAGAATTACTGTGAATCATTTTTTATATATAGAAATGTATTTATTGGGATAAACCCCTTGAGATGCACCATCTCGTTTTCAAGGGTGTCCCGATATGATAACATGTTGAAGGATATTAAAGGTGAGCATTTGCGCATACTTTTTTTGTATACCAAGATAATGATAGAAGAGTAAATAACAGACTATTCTAATAAAGACAACACAATGAGTTTCACCATCATACACTGCCTACCTAAGACCTTCTGTTAACCAACCTTTGACTTCCCACCACTTCCCAACAAACCCTCTTAGAAACAGCAAGTGCTTCTTTTAGGCCCTTTTTACCCAACTAACAACTTCTAGAGCTTTTTTTAAGCATATATTCATTAGCTCGAAAGCTAAAGTGGTCAAATCTGCAGGCAATGTTCACATTTAACAAATCAACGGTTGATTGCTAAAAATGAGAAGATGTGTTTTGTTAACTTGTTTAGAGAGTTCTTAATCAGTATATCAAATTATAACCACATTGATTAAAACTATAAGATATATTAAATATGAAGCCAACACATCTTTCCATCCCAAGTTGTATAAAGTATACCTGAGCATATGTCAAACTTATAGATGAGAACTAGTCTGTAGGTTATTGACTTCTAAGTGTCTGAGAGGAAACAGAGACATAGGCCATACACACAGAGCAGATAAAGGCTGTTAAACATTAACAGAACACCTGAGCAGTGGTCTACTCTGCTGTTCGCTCCACTCTCGGGTTTGAAGGCTTAACACCGTCTGAAGCTTCAGGTTTAGCTCTGTTTTTCTTTTTTTATAACTCTGTTTTTCTTCAGTCAGAGCCAAAGGACCAGCCATGGGAAAAGTGTGTGCAGCGGTTTGCTGTCTGCTGCTGAGCGTGGCAGCGGTGACGGCCCAGACAGGTACTGTTCCACATTTACTGACAATAACAATGAAGACACAGACAGCTCTTTATATTAGTCACAGCAGTGCTGACATTATGAAAGGAACATAATATAGCCGTGTCACTGAGTGTTTCAGAGTGTCTCTGAGTGTCACTGAAACACTCAGTGACACTCAGAGACACTCTGAAACACTCAGTGACACTCAGAGACACTCTGAAACACTCAGAGTGTCTCTGAGTGTCACTGAGTGTTTCAGAGATGCCACCACAGAGATTTTCAATAGCAATCATTCTGCTTGTTTTCTTATCAACACATGTATATATAAACTTCAGAATGTACTGACATTGAAAAATATATGTTAGTTTATCAATAAGTGGTGGAAGAAGTACTCAAATATTTTACTTCAGTTAAAATATATTTTGTAGAAATATTTATGTATTCAAGGTATTTCCATCATAACAAACACAGTTCAAATAAATAAAAGTACTCACTATGCTCATTCATACTGTTTTTCACAATGTTGCAGCTAAAGGTGGAGCAATATGCCATCATCGTGTTGATTATATGTTTTTGATTTGAGTAACTTAAGAATCTAGTAGAAATAGAAATAGAGAGTAGAAGAAAAGACCTTTAAGTACTACTGCTCTTGAGTATCCACTGAATATCAAGCAAGAGAGAAATAGTCTTTCAGGAGATAACACCAGCAATGTTCGGCATGTGTACCAGAGTGAATACTATAACAAACAGACTGTGATAGTATTACCATATTGCTTTTGATCAATGTTTCAGCTTTACAATATTAGTGATAAGTTGGTTGAAGTGTTGCTTATATAGATAAGTGTACAAGGAAGCAGTTTTTATTTACTGTTAATATCGTTATTGGCGTCATATAAAGAAGACACGTTGTGAAACGAGTTAGTCGTCTCTTATTAAACCCAACACTGATTCATGTACTGCACTTCATTTCAAATGTGTGCTAGTGGTATTTTATTATTTTTAGTAAATCTATTTCCCTACATTTTAGTGGAAACATTATACTTGTTACTTCACTATTATCGTTTGGGTTGTGCAGGCATGTCTTGGAGGTAATGGTTTATAGAGTTATGTTGACCTCTGACCTGTGTCTGTGTGCAGCTCAGAGTGAGCGAGCGCTGCCTCAGTGGCTCACCGGCATCATGGCCCTCTGCGGCTTCCTCTTCCTGTCCTTCGTCGGGATCCTGGTGAAGAAGGCCTGGTGCGAGGAGCCCAGGTCAGAGAAGAGCTTCAGAAGCCTGGTTGAGTTGACCAGGTCATCCAGTGGCAGTTTTTAGATACGTTTTTTTAATGTGAGGGGCACACTCAATGGGGGACAAAGGAGAACAAGACAATGTTCAAGAGTACAGCACTTTTAGTTCAGTATAAGAGAAGAATAGAATAGAAAGGCCAAACCGGGCCACAGAGTGGTCAAAGTTCAGTGTTACAGGGGCACTTCACTTTAGAATTGTAATATTCTTAAGGTTAACATTTACATAAATCAGTCAGTTAATCAAAGTAGTAAAGTTAATCGACAACCTTCCATTGAGCAACAATGACAAATACTCTCAGTTGTGTGTCCCAGTACAGCGAACATCTGAACTCTGGGTGCTTTTGAATTATTTTATAAAACGTGCAAATAGAGATGGATACAAAATATAATCAAAGTAATTTAATATTTATATTAATCATGATTTTAAGCCATATACTGAGAAAATAAATGCTAAAAAAATCCCAACATATAGAAATTCTTGTGTAAATTATTCAGTTTTTGTGTCAGGGGATTATGACCCCAGTATATCTAACATCTGAACTTTCTGATCAATTTTATAGATACATCTTATTACCTTTAAAATAATGCATTGTAATAAAGTGCATCTGTCTGCAGGAAGAAGAGCACTGTGAAGTCGGTGAGAGAAAATGATTACGTCATGACGGAGGAAAACGCGTACGAGACCAGCCTGGACATGGTCAGGTAGGAACAACCCAACTAAATCATTAGCATGTTCTCCCCCCTTTACCTTATTCTTTATGAAAAACTTTCTGAGAATTCAGGGATGCAAACTTGTCACCTTTCGGCGAAATTCGCCGTTTTGAATCCAAAATAGGTAGTTTGTGTGATTCATGTAGATCTGCAATAAAAATATTTTTGGGATATGGGGGGGGGTCTGGGACCCGGAGTAATCTGCGGCCGCGAGCTGTTATGTGCCATCATGACACGCATGGTGTTCTTTTTTTATATATTATAATGAAGCGCGAGCACAAGTCTTCCTGCCTGTCAGCTCTGCTCATGGATGTATAATAAGGCTCTGCTGCTCCGGGATGAGGGTCTAGCTTCAGCAGCTACATTACCTACGGGTGCGTTCGTTAATATTAACTGTGCGGTCCGGAGTCACTGTGGCACAGACTGGACCGCTGGTGAACAGCTGTTAGAACGGGCCGTTCAGGTGTTCAGATCAGAGCTCCCTGTCGGAGCGGCAGAGCGTGATGTGCACTGAAAAGTGTTCCTGTCGCAATATTATCGTTGAGCTAGCTAACTAGCATACATTGTCACTATCTGCTAACGTTAGCTTTAGCCTTCGTTTTCTAATAGTTTTTTTCATAGGCTATAAACAGAGGTGGTATAAGTATATATCTTGTGCTTGAGTAAAAGTAGAAGCACTCAGATCTTGTACTAGAGTAAAAGTAGAAGTACTCAGATCTTGTACTAGAGTCAAAGTAGAAGTACTCAGGTCTTGTTCGTAAAAGTAGAAGTACTCAGATCTTGTACTTGAGTAAAAGTAGAAGTACTCAGGTCTTGTACTTGAGTAAAAGTAGAAGTAGAAGTCCTGCATTCAAAATGTTCCTCAAGTAAAAGTAGAAAAGTATTCTCATCAAAATATAGTTAAAGTAGCGACAGTAAAAGTAGTCGTTGTGCAGATTGGTCCATTTCAGAATAATATATATGATATGTTTTATAATGATTGATCATGAAAGTGTTCTCAAAGCTGGTAAAGGTGCAGCTAGTTTGAATGACTTTGTATACTGCAGGGTAGCTTGTGAATTTACTCCAGGTGGAACTAAAGTCTGATTTAACACTTGATTATATTTCACATCATTCATCCACATCTGTAAAGTAACTAAAGCTATTAAATACATGTAGTGGAGTAGAAGTACACCATTTACCTCTGAACTGTAGAGAAGAAGAACAAAGTAGCAACACATTGAAATACTTAAATAAAGTACAAGTATCTCAAAATTGTACCCAAGTACTTGAGTTTATGAACTTAGTTACTTTACACCACAGATAGAAAGACTAAGCCTTGCACAGAGGCATGAAAATACATTTTCAAAATGCTCAACAGTGCTGCCAAAATTATAAACTGACTGCTACACAATTCAAATAAATGCTTTTATACATTTCTATTAGATGTGACTCTTTGGCGTTTCTGTTATTATTAACTGCTGCTTTAGTTGTTCTGACTGCTAAAATCCTCTGTTATTCCTCATTTTAAAGCCGATATTCCGTGGGGTCGGGGGGCTCGGATCCTTGTCACCTTTTTCATACCTGATGAGTTTGCATCCCTGGAGAATACTTACACACTTTTACTTATATTTGTATTTCCACAGTGTGGTATAAGTGATGTTATTTCAGAGAAGGATATGAATACTGATAACTACGTTTTATTATTGCGTGTGTCTATTAGAAGCAAAGAAGAGAGGAATGCTTACGACAACGTGGTGATGGACAGCACTGATGACAAACTTACCGCCATGTGACCCTCCTGCCCTGATTCTATTGGCTGCCGTCCTCACCAACTCTGGACAGGGAAAACAATACCTTAACTGTTGTTCGTTTTTATTTTTAGTTGATTGAATCAATTAAGATATCATTTACCTGGCTAACAAATATCTTCTAAGACTGTTTGATTTTTTTAAATATTTAAATTATATTATATGTATTGTTAATACTTGTTGTGTTAATCAGTTAGTTGATTTGGAGCAGTGAACATGAGGACAAGCAGCTGTCCATCCCATGATCTTTCTGCTGATTCATAAGTTATGTTTTCTAACAAACTGCTGTGTCGCCTCCTTTCTGATCAATGGAAGACTGACCTGCCATTATGAATAAAACACTCCGACAGTATGGCACATTTTACAATAAACAGTGAGCAGTACTGACCCTGGTGTGTGAGTGAATCAGAAACTGATAGTACAACACACTGACCTCACACCTGAAGTGGAACATACGAACACACTGACCTCACACCTGAAGTGGAACATACGAACACACTGACCTCACACCTGAAGTGGAACATACGCACACACTGACCTCACACCTGAAGTGGAACATACGAACACACTGACCTCACACCTGAAGTGGAACATACGAACACACTGACCTCACACCTGAAGTGGAACATACGAACACACTGACCTCACACCTGAAGTGGAACATACGCACACACTGACCTCACACCTGAAGTGGAACATACGAACACACTGACCTCACACCTGAAGTGAACATACGCACACACTGACCTCACACCTGAAGTGGAACATACGAACACACTGACCTCACACCTGAAGTGGAACATACGAACACACTGACCTCACACCTGAAGTGGAACATACGAACACACCAATCATATTATAGTTCATTGTGTTTTCTTTATGGTTTAATTATACATAGATCATTTTTGCACAAAACAAACAGAGTGGATGCTCAATAATTAGAACAGACAGATCATTCACAACATGTCTCTGTTACCTCAGAGCCTTCAGTCTCTTTGGATCATTAAATGACATCAAACTGAGCAGTTTTAGTTTTTCACTGAGTGATAGACAGCCTTAGCTGGATGTCTTTTGAAAATGTTAGTGACATTCGAGTTGTTTAATCCTTTTATCATTTGTATTCTTACAGGTTTCTGATGTACTATTTATGCACATTCCTCAAAAACATTATATTTGGACAAATAGTATAATTGGAGTCTGACTGATATATTATTCATCATACTCATTAAGTATCTGATCAGTTCATGTGAGCAGACAAATGTTTATTTTACTTTTCTGCTGTACATTTAGTAGATAATCAACATTTTAGGAAAAAGAAAAGACAACAAAGTCTATCAAATCTGTTTTGGGAAAAATTCAGTTTTAGTTTGGAAGGTCTTTTTGGGTGGGCTTAAAAGGTTCAACATGCGAGACTCAAATACCAAAGACATCACTATTGTAACAAAAGACGAGGGAGTACAAGAGAAAAACTATTATATGTTATATTATTATTATATATTTTTTTCAAGGGACTTTGGTACTGTGGCTTGCTGCACTGACACAACACCAGGAAACAAGAGAAAAGAAAGTCCTGTCCTGCACCACTTTGCTTCAAAAGTGCAGCGTGTTGTCACCGAGTCACATCAGGTCCTTTTTCCTAGTCATTTATAAAGATTGTTCAGACTGGATTAACATTAAAGGAGGAGGCAGAGAATTACATTTTCACTGTATAGTAACTCATCGTTCAGGACATTGTAACAATGGTGAAGTGACAGGATATTAAGATCTGTACTGTAGTAAACAACAAAAGCCTTAAAGATAAGGGAGTTAAATGGAAGACAAAATATACTGCAGGTTTATTTGCCTCACACTTTTCCTCAGCGAAATGTGATCATGTGAAATATTGATATCATTCAGTGTGACTAACCTTCCCGAGTATATCGTTACTTCTGATGTCCCTCCAGAATAAACCAAAAAATCCACTTAGGCATGGAAAAAAGACGCTTGAGAACTTGCCTGAGAATCATGTTATAGGTTATTTTTCTTTTGTATTACTCCAGTGACAGCTATGTGAACATAGTTCAACTGCAAATAGAAGTAGCTAATAGATAGTTCTGCTTACTTAGTGAACATTTGACAAAATGTTAACGAATGTAGGGGGGAAAAAAACATTTTTATATAAACAATGAAGGGTACGTTAGTTAACCAGAGGCACACTAAATAATTCCTTCCCCTTGCATGTCCTCATTTCATTTTAGCAGTTGTACTTTTCGAAAGAATTTACTTCAGTGTGTCTATTCATTATTTTTTTATTGTGCTCTGACTACAAGATCTTTTTTTCTGCAAATAGTACCAATGACATGACATGAAAACTGAGGAAATGATTAAGAAATTACGTAAAATAAAGTGCAACCTCAGCTGGTTTTTGGCAGCGACTCTGAAAGAGACCGGTGTGAAGGCTAACCAAAGCTGCAGGGTTTCAATAGAGGTTTCTGACTGTTCACACAATTATTCAGACACTGGCACAAACAGATCGGTGCTCATAATATTAACAAAAAAAGACATCGTTAATTTCCGGCAAAATCAAAAAATAAATTACAGTTCATCAACTTTGACAAACAAATAAAAGTAGCACAAATTAAGACAGTAATTATGACAACAAAAAAGCTGAGCATTTTGTATTTTGTACTTGATTGATATGTTTATCACAGGACCCTGCGGAGACAAACTGTTCTCCATTCTGACACCTACAGCTGCTGCTAAATACTTCACTTACAAATCGAAATATCTGACCAGAGTACTGTGGTGCCAGACTAGATGTTAGCAATACTAGAAGAATACTACCTTCTCGTTGTAGAATTTAAGATTAAAAGCAACAGTCTGACATGTTGGACCGTCCTCTTGTTCTCCCTCTAAACTAAGGCTATGTTCATTAGCTTTTTATTGAAGCCTACCTAGCCAAATCTACCAAGAGATAGCTTTCAACATTTATAAGTAACACAGGTTATATATAAATATTACTTAGTTTAAATGAAGAAAAGGGAACATTTTGGCAGTTTAGAATTTTAGCCAATTTAAATGTTGTCTTTTCAACCAGCTAGCTGTTAAAGCTAAAGTACTATGCTAGCTAAGAATAAGGTTGCAGCAGGTGTTCATCAATTCAAACATTTGAATTCAAACTTTGTGCTAATGTGAGTGTTAACTAAATAGATATATGTTTCTAAATATAATCTGCTTTGGTGTTGTTGAAGGTTTTTTTTCCGTCAAATAAGCTAGGCTAATAGTTTCCTTTCAGTCTTTGTGCAAAGCAAGGCTAAGCAGAGATGAAACTGATATCTGAAACGGCTAAGTGAAGATCCCTTTACTTTATTTGTCAGTCTGTTGCTTTTATTGACGTCTACATCTAGAAAGCCAATATATAATCTCCACGGATAATTTGTATTATAATTTTTCTGTCCATGATAACATCATGTGGAAGACACTGTATCTGTTGCCGGGCCACAGGGGATCTCCAAGACCACCAAGTCCTGAGAATCATCTCCATGGAGACACATGAGCATTAACATTTATATAATGTTCTCTTTTGTGTGTCAGTATGGATTTATTACTGGAAGAAAAATGTGTTTGTTTGAGAAATTAAATGTTTATCAAAATATAGCACTTTTTATGAGAGCCGAATAATTAAATCAAAAACTTTAACTTAACTCTGTGATTAAACAGAAAATGGATGGAAAACTTCAGGATATGTTTTGTATACATAGGGAAACTTTATCACATCAAACTGTGTCTCTATTACGGATCATTGTTTTCAATGTTCAGTTTGGTTTTTGTTTAATATCATTTTCAAAATAAGAAACTTAAGATTTCTCTGAAAATGTTGAACTGAAAACAATAAGTCATGTTCCACAGAAAAAAGACGTGTGTAATCTGATAACGAAGTATTTTAAAATGTGTAGAAGTCTGGGACTGCAAATATGTTAGTAACATTTTTCAATTAAATTGAAATGAAATATTATATTTGTGCCAAAAGATGTAGGAGATATTTTAAATTAAAGTCCCACATTTCCATTACCATGTTTGAAAATACAGTGTTCTTCCATTTTGATGACTAGTTTTCTTATCTATAACAGCAGTTTCTGTTATAGTGTTGGAACAATCAGTGGTGTTAAAGTCTACACTCTCCCTTCTGGTGGCTTCCATATTTAAAGTTACTCTTCCTCTGAGGCTAAATTTCACCAGTCTTGGACCACAGAGGAGATGCTAAGCTAACGTGAGCAGCAGTGTCAGAGAAAACATATTTCCCCTCCCTTTTGTTCCTCTGGATTATAAAGTTGTCTATGTGTATGACTGCATTCACCAGCACAGGTTGGATTTAAATTTAAATGTTGCTCCATCGTGACTCCATATTGATAGTGTTTTGTTTTTAGATGTTATTATGAGTTGGTAGTGTGTTTAGTAACAGAGTTTCTTAACCTTTCTGTCTGGGGATGCCATGTACAAGTATTTCCATTTTTGTGGTTAGCACTAGCTAACTAAAACGTATTTGAGACCGTTGGATGGATTTGACATTTTGCCATTCATGTGACTCAGATGATGAATCCCACGGACTCTATGGTGTCACCATGAGGTTATGGTTTGGGCTAAAATATTCCATCTATTTTATGGATTGTCATAAAATGTAGTTCAAACATTCACGCTAAAATGTGTTATAGTTGTCGAGTTAAAGATGTTTTGGTGTCACATGTTTCTCAGGATCACATCTATGGCCCCCGACCCCAAAGTTAAGAAACTCTGTTTAAGGTATTAAAGTAAGACACACAGACATCGGCATGTACCGGTTTCACCCACAGGAAATGTGTGTGTGTGTGTATGTTGACACCGTCTGATGCTGTTGCTTTGTTTTTGCACGATGGAAAGTTCAGAGTTCTTGATCCACAATTATTCCAAGAGTCAAAAGAGTGTGTATGCATGCAAAGTGTGTGTGTGTGTGTGTGTGTGTGTGTGTGTGTGTGTGTGTGTGTGGTGTGTGTGTGTGTGTGTGTGTGTGTGTGTGTGTGTGTGTGTGTGTGTGTGTGTGTGTGTGTGTGTGTGTGTGTGTGTGTGTGTGTGTGTGTGTGTGTGTGTGTGTGTGTGTGTGTGTGTGTGTGTGTGTGTGTGTTATGACAGGATGTCCAGTGTGACGGTTCCTCTCTGTCTCTTCAGGATGCTGACGGCCTGCTCGTGCGTGGCCCCCTGCAGACTCTCTCCATTCACAGACAGGATCTGGTCTCCTCGCTTCAAACGCCCGTCCACAGCCGCCGCGCCCTGAAACACACCAACACACCACCATGCTGCATTAACAGTGTTGGGGAGACACTCATTGCATACTTCCTTCCTAGTTTTTCATTGGTTCTCATCTGTCCTGCCTGGGACCAGCGGGTAGTATGGACAGTGAAAATGCTGACAAGATGCCAGTTGCCTAGTCTAAAACATAAAAAAGAAATTGATGTAATAAGTTGCATTACTTTAATGGAGTTAGCTAAATAGTTTCATTACTTGTTAGTGTTACTATTTCAAGGGCTACTACTAATCTGAAACCTTTTACATTACATTTCCCAACGCCGGCTATTTTTTTTAACATTTATATTTTATTAAACATTTTCAATAGACAAAAACACACGGACATGGACATGGCTCACATACATTACAAGTAGGACAGGACATAACATGGAGGGTGGGGGGTATGGGGATTACAGTGTCAGTTACATTTGATGTATGCATATGGCGTTGTATTTATACAAGATTTGCTTCATCATATAGGTATACTTCATTGTTTAAAGGTAGGGTAGGTAAGTTTGAGAAACCGGCTCGAGATCGCTAGAATTTGAAAATACACAACCGGAGAAAATCTGCCACTTCCTTACAGAGCCCCTCCTCCAACACACACGAACGCGCACATGACCAATGAGGGCACAAGATAAGTTTGTGCACAGATGGAAGGCTGACAGGCAGGTAGGCCATCCAGTTATTTTAGCCGGGCCGGCTAAAATGATTGGTCGTGCTTTTTACAGTACTACGGCTTCCACAGATGATATTTTGTATGGATTTGTTGTCAAAGCACTTCAGATATTCATTGCTATCAGGATGTTAAGAGCATTCCATGGAATATAACAAAAAGTGTATCTCGAGCCGGTTTCTCAAACTTACCTACCCTACCTTTAATAGGTAAATAAATAGATAGATAGTCAAATATATATATATATATGCACACATATGTGCATATATATATATATATATATATATGCACACATATGTGCATATATATATATATATGCACACATATGTGCATATACACACACACATCTCTTCCTTTTATGATTAATTCACCTATTCATCCATTTCCCATTTAATTTAACTTCTTTCATTATTATTACCGTTATTTTTCTGTTTCTTCATAGCTTATTTCTCTTTATTTATATTTATTTATTAATATTATTAATTAATATTATTATATTTATTGTTGGCAGCCGAGATGGTTTGAGGAAAGCCTTTATCTTATCCCAAAGCCTGTTGTCTGGCTTAACCAAATATAACAGGGAGAAAGCAGCTTCTTCCATACTTCAGATGTTTAGGAAGTCCTCCAGCCATCTATTGAAATTGAAGTAGTTGGGCTTTCTGACTTTCCAGTTCCTAAGAACGAGGCGTTTAGTTGAAAGGCATGCTAGGGCTATAAGTTTACTTGCAAATGTTGATGTTATGCCATTGAGCGGGGATCCCAGCAAGCATGTAGCTGGAGTTAAGAGTATCTCTATGTTCAGAATCTCAGCGAGAGTATCTCCAACTACGTCACATAGAGACTTTACAGCCGGACAGGACCAAAGACAATGTAAAAGGGTACCCACTTCCGCACAACCATGCCAGCATAGGCCCGAGAGTGTTTGATCCATCTTTTTGAGTCTACAGGGTGTCATGTATGCTCTGTGAAGGATTTTTAACTGTATTACTCTAAACTGGACACACTTGGAGATTGATGTCGAGTTCGACCAGATTCTGTCCCACTCAACTGGGGTAAGGGTGATGCCTAAATCCTGCTCCCATCTTTTCTGTGACTGCAGATTAGTATTGGCGGTTGAGGTAAGGAGAAGTTTATATATACCTGAAATCATTCCTTTCTTGTTTGCAAGTCTTTTTAGGTTCATATCAAGGTTTTCATGACAACCTATCTTTATACCTTTTGATGTTAAGTTTTTTATATTTGATTGTAATTGCATATAGGAGAGGAAGAGGGATTTATACAGATTAAAATGTTCCATCAACACTGTGAACGGAGTTATGATATTGTTTTTTACTATTTGCCCAATGTGTTGTATGTCATGTGCTTGCATATGTATATTATTCAATGGATTACCGCCCGCTGTGAATATTGGGTTTTTCCATAATGGGCATGAAGGGAGGGAAATACCAGTGATGCCTCCTTTGTACAGATTTAACCACTGATAGAAAATTGAATTAATGGATTATTCAGATTGGATTTGGGGGAGTGCCATAATGAATTTAAAGATATTGATTTATTGTTTTCTGTAATTATTTGTCCTTCCAGCCAGTCCCAGTTCGCTTTTTTCGGTGTCGCTCCATAACCCCATACTATAGGGAATCTGGCATTATATGAGAGATAATATAAGTATAAATTGGGTACCCCCAGTCCACCTGTTCTCCTCGGCATAGACAACTTTTTATGGTTGATTCGTGGTTTTTTATCCTTCCATATGAATTGAGAGAATATAGTATTTATTTCTTTAAACCAATATTATGGGATTTGAAGGGGAATTGAGGATATTATATAGGTCAATCTTGGTAGGACATTCATTTTTAACACATCCACCCTTCCCCACAGCGATAGGGGTAAAGAAGTCCATCTTCTCAAGTCATCTTTAATAGTTCTAAGTAGGCCTGGACCATTCATTTAGAAAATCTTGTTAATTGGTGATCTGATGTTTATGCCCAAGTATCTCAATCCATCAGCTTTCCAAACAAAAGGAGCAAGTGATTAGAGTGAGTCTGACAGTTTAGTGGCATGGCTTCACTTTTACTCCAATTTATTTTATATCCTGAAAATAAGCTAAATTCTCTAATAACCTCTAGCACCTTAGGTATAGAGTTTAGTGGGTCAACTAATGTTAAAAGGATATAATCAGCGTATAAGTTTATTTTGAACTGATGTCCGCACTTTGGGATACCCATAATTCCTGGATTTTCCCGGATGGCACAAGCCAAGGGCTCAAGAGCTAAAATGAATATTAGAGGGGATATTGGACATCCCTGCCGTGTTCCCCGATGCAGGGGGAAAGGATCAGAAAGCATGTTGTTGCTTCTGACTGAGGAGACTGGCTTATTGTAAAGAGCTTTAAACCATCTCATACAGACAGGGCCAAATCCACATTTTGATAGAACATTAAATACATATGGCCATTCTATTCTGTCAAAGGCTTTCTCTGCATCCAGTGATATTGCCATTGCTGGGAGATGGAGGGTGTTAGCGCTAAAAATAACCTGGAGCAGCCTTCTCATGTTATTAGCTGACTGGCGTCCAGCTACAAATCCTACCTGGTCTAGATTCACTAGGGATGGGATAATTTCCTCCAGGCGAAGGGTTAGGATTTTTGCAAACACTTGTAATATAATGTATGATGTCCTTTATTGTTTTATGTTTCATGTGGAACCTATATGCTGCAGGTCTCCCTTGAAAAAGAGATCTATGATCTCAATGGGACCAATCTGGTTAAATAAAGGTTTGAAATGAAATGAAATGAATCATTGTTAAGAAGACTTAGGGGTCGGTAGTTGCTCATGTATTGATGATCTTTCCCAGGTTTCGGAAGTAGACATAATGTGGTGGTACGCATAGTTAGGGGCATTGATTGTTTTTCTATCATGTCGTTATACAACATAACCAACAATGGCGACAACACTTCCAGAAAGCATTTATAAAATTCAATACTAAAGCCATCGCACCCAGGGGTCTTACCCGATGTAAGAGATTTTATGGCAGACGCTATTTCGTTTGGCGTGACAGAAGATTCCAACTCGTGTTTCTGAGTAGGATTTAGTACAGGAAGTGTAACATTCTTAAAAAAAAAATCCAGGCTATGGTCTTGTGCTGTGCACTCAGTTTGATATAAATTGGAGTAAAATGGTTGGAATTCACGGTTTGTTAGCTTGGGATCATTTATAATATTACCTCCAGAGTCTCTTATAGCTGGAATTGATAATTTACCTGTTTAAGCTGAAGAGCAAGCATCTTTCCTGCTTTATCACCACATTCAAAGTGTTTTTTACGGAGTCTGTAGAGGGAGAAAGCCGTCTCTTCATGTAATATTGCCTGCAGGTCCGCTCTAACTGTGAGTAATGTTTTCTGAAGTAGTGGGTTTTTAGGATCACACATATGCTGTTTCTCAATAGTTTTAAGTTCTGATTGTAAATTATTTTTCTTTTTAATAGCTTTTCTGTGCTGAGCTGATGCATGGCTGATTATCCACCCTCTGCAGGTGGCCTTAAAGGCTTCCCATACAGTTTGAATGGAAGACACAGAGTCTACATTTATTGATATATATTATTTTATTTTATTTTCAATAAGTGAGATGAATGTGTCATCTTTTAACAAAGAGTTGTTAAGTCTCCATTGTTTAGCTCTGTTCTCACAGCAACTAGGAAAAAAGTGATAGACTGAGGGGCGTGGTCTGATAGGACAATACTATGTATGTCCGCATCCATTACATTTTTAATAACAGAGTGGGATAATAAGAGGTAGTCAATTCTTGAGTAGGATTTATGCACCTTAGAATAAAATGTATATTCACGAGAGAGAGGGTACAGTGTCCGCCATACATTAGCCATTGCCAGTGATTCTAACAGCTCATTGAAGGCACTTGATAGTGATCTGTCCATTGGAAGAGGATGGCCTGAGCGGTGTAGTGAAGCATCTTTTACTAGATTAAAATCTCCTCCCATCAAGATAGGGCTGTCAGTGTACTGGGCCAAAATGGTGATCAGAGGGCACATAAAGGAAGCTTGTGCAGAGTTTGGAGCATAAATATTCACTAATGTGCATTTTTCATTCTGCAATTTACCTCGCAAAACCAGATATCGACCTTCCTTATCACTAACCAAATCAGTCAGTTCAAAAGATATTTTCTTAGATATCAGTATACTGACACCTCTCGTGCCTCCCGAGCCTGGGGAGGAGAACACTTGGCCAACCCATCTTTGCTTTAATTTGTTTGATTCTTCTAAGTTCAAGTGGGTCTCCTGTAACATGGCTATATCAC